AAGATCATTTCTCAACTCGATCTCTTTGCGTAACGGCAAACCGCTATTCTTGCAAAATGTGCTTTCACCTAACGTCAGGCCATTGTTACGATTTACTTACTCTATTGTGAGTAGAGGTCAAAGCAGACCAAGAGAACTCCTACGCTACATTTGTAAGCGGACGTTACAATCGTGTCCATTAACTAGTTATCCTTATGCAGGGCCAAATCACAAGATAAATCCCGACCCTTGTCACGGCTAAATTAGGCGACGCCAAATCAGCTAAGGCGACCGATAACAGGCCAATAGGCAGCACGCCAACAGACCCTTCAACCGAAGATTTATAAAGGTTAATCGTTTGTTTCAAAACTGGAAACATTATTTCAGCTCGTTCCTATGCTTATCAAAAACGTAAATCTACGAATATGTGTGTTAATGAACTGTTTTTTCTCATAGCGAAGCTGAACAAAGCTGGTAAAATCATTGTCATGCCTTCCCCGGATATCAGCGAAGCCTTTGACAAAGTGCATTATTCCAACCAAAATCGAATTTGCACACTCTACATCTTGTAAATTTCCAAAATATATTGAGAAACGTATACAGACATTCGAAAATAGAATTTTAAAATGTTGTACCGGCCTGACACTCTCAACTTCTCAACATATCCTCAATGTCATTTCTGGTAAATGTCCAATCTCCGAAAGAGCCCTTGTTGTTAAGTAGTTAATTCAATTTAAGGCTACTTCCTTCTTCGAGAAAGTTATACCTTTCAATAATGTTGTCTCATGTAACTTCAAAGATTGTTATCAAAAACTTCGTCATATTTTTGACAAGATATATTCAATCCCTCTCTGGAATTTCGATACCAACAAATGCAGACTCTTCATGAGCTTCCTTGAACGAATCGATGGCGACGAGGGATGTCAATCTTTCTTGTGTGAGGATCTCATGTCATGAAAACTTCTCCTTTATTACAGCAATGGCTATATATATATACATACCACTGACGGTTCGGTCAGACGTTACGTATGCAGCTTCTCGGCAGTGAAGCATCTATCTAAAACATAAACAAGGAGATCATGGCAAGAAATAGGTCGTAGAATTGTTTCCACTTACTATGGCGTTATGTGGAGTTGAGTTAAGGCTTTAACGACCATTGATTGGTATTGGTCATGATTGTCCTGATCTAGACCACTGATTAGGAGATCTGAGACCTGTTCCCATAACTTATTTATGGTGTCAATGCGGACTGTGTAAAATTGCTGTGGTTCATTGGGGCTGAAATTTTCAAGCCCGGCTAAAAACCTCTTTATTGCTGTATTGCGAGCATTAAGTCTGCCAATCAGGCCATGTCCAGAGTTATTCATTGCTGATGTGTTAGCTCCAATTCCAACGTTAGGAAGGATGCCTTATCTTTGGGCAGGCTCGATCACTTCGGCTTCTTTTAACTGACCGACTTCTTTATTGGGAATGTCAAGGTATTCGATTGTTAACGCTTGAATCTCCTCATAATATTGATTATTGAAATATTCAATATTAGTTTGGTTTTCGACAAGTATGCAAAACTTGCCTTCCGTTGTTTCGACAGCATCACAAAGATCAGAGAGGATCCTATATTTGTCATGATAGTAGAATGCCTTGCTTTTTCTGTCAACCGACTCCCTCTTGTGATTGCGTATGACACGCTGAATGTTTTGGTGAATGGTGGCTGGATTTGGCTGGATGGTGGTGGTTTGTGATTTGAATAATTCTTGTATTGATGTCATCTTTTATTCTTATAATTATGCAACCAGTCCGTGTTGGTCAATCCAAACTGACAAATGATTGTGTGAGTGTGTCCAATTGACACTGCCTTGCCAAATATACTTAAACCACTTGTCAAATATATTTGGGCGCAATTGCCTGTTCTTGTAATTAGGCAAAAGTCCGTGTTGGCCAACCCAAACGGATAAATGAGTTGTGTTGAATAGTGATCATTGGTCAAAGACTCCAAGACGCCATTGACCATTTTATTCACAACACCTCTCTTTTATGTTAACTATTACAACAGAGCAATTATAAAAATAAAGACTTGTGAGCGGAATTCGGCTATTATATTATTGTTTTGTTGTGAAGAACAATGGCAAAAGCAGAACGACAGCAACACGCTACATCTATATACGCGGACGTTACAGATGATGAAGTTAATAAAAAATTCCATGACGTAGCGAAGACTGGTAGAGTTGTTGTACACAACAAGGATTATCCATATACGTTTATGGTTTCATTATGTTAATTTACAGGATGTTGTGCGTATACTTTCGTAGACATATGTGTGCAGTCGTACCTCACACTCAGCTTAGTGCACATATCTGACTTCAGCACAATTTAACATTTAATAGTAGCAATCTTAAAATCAATAAATATTTCATTTATTGTATATTATTCATTTCGTTTCATATAAATATTTTATTTAAGTAACATACTGCTTATCGCTACATAAGGCACAAGCACACGCAGCGCATCATTATCTTTGTTTGCATATTGCGGTCGCTGTTCTTTCTTTTGCGGTTCTTAAGTAAAAGTATTGTTAGTACAGTTTAATAAACGACTCTCTATCACAAATTACGATAGATTTATTTATCATGGTTTTCTTTCTATTTTATTTTCTTAAGTCTTGACACTTTTCTGGTGTTCTCCCTGTTTTGTTTACTTTGCCCGAACTCTTATTTAATTCGTAATTGATTAATTACACTCTTTTCGATTTATTAAACAATTTCTTCCATAAAAAAAAGTTCGTAACAATTACCATAGTCATCGCTATATTCCTTCGCTTCGGCTTTTTTGTTTTCAATAGATCAAGTCCTTACCAAAAATTAAATATGGCGTCAACGCAATTATAAAACTTCCCACATGTTTTCGTTTTCTTTTTTTTAGTTTTATGTTCAAAACCACTACTCTTCTCGAAGCTTTTTTGGAAAAATATAACTCAAACATTTAAAGAGACAGTTTTTTAAATATCTTTCTGAAATTATTCCGAGCTTTTACTAAAACATTTTTGAGGCAAGTGGCGATGGTAGTTTGTGGAATTTACCATTTGGACAAAGCATATTGAGTAATAACTTGCGTGTTCCCCGGGCAAGAACTCTGTCAAGTAGATCAAAATGTCGAATTCAGGTATTATTTTGCCAATCTTATCTTTGTAATTTGCCTAAATTTTGATACCGTTGCATTAACTTACTTACTAACTTACTTTTACTAGTTCTTTCTCCTAAAAAGTTGATCAAGTTTTCGAGATGAGCATCTTCATTTTGCCCGCGACCCTAGTTTTCTATATGTTCAACATTTATTCCCATACTCAAAACAAAAAAACCTAACCTTGAGGCGTTACGCCAATTTTCCTATTTTATTTTCTCGGATCTTATTTCTAAACTCAAATAAAATGTTTGCTTAAATATGAAATCTGTATGTTTGCTACAATTATAATTTACAAAGCGTATTGCTTGCACAGTATAATAACAACATAACAACAATATCAATAATATTAATGATTATAATAATACAAATGATAATGATACCGTACAAACAAAAAGGAAAGAACGCTCAAGAAATAAAGGCAATTTAATTTATATTTGGAAATTATTGATCTATTTCATGTTTACCATAAACCAATGCACGTTGTTTTATGTTATGAAATTTGCAATTTGCAGCAGAATTTTTCAAATAAACAAGAAAGGTAATGAATTTGGAAGAAGGAGAATTTTGAGCGCTTCACAATTATAAATCAATACTATTAAATGAAAATCCGTTATTTTATGTAGAGGAAGGTCCAAACCGTCGAATTCAACCGTTATGTACACTGGTATTTCCTATGTCTTTATCATTTTTATCGGTAGAAGTCGCTGATCAAAATATTTTTAAACACCTAATACGATGTATTATTTGAAAAAAAATGAAAAACAAGCAAAAAAAAAATTTATTTTAAAGTTGAAATATATTCATCAAAACGTTTTTTAGAGAACGACAAACGGTAATTTCCAAATTGTGGATCAATTAATACACAAAAATGTATGTAATATATATATCTATCTCTATCCCCACAAAATTAACAAGCTTGCTTACTTTTACATTAACTTCCTTACTGTTATTTTTTATAAATTTTTTGTTTATGTTTACGTTGATTTCTTTGTTTTTGGTTCTAAATTCATATGTTTTTGCTGACAGTTTGCTGTAAAAGTGGTTGCCTGAAAACGAAAATAACTTCTCACTGTGTGTGCCCTTATATCGCACAGTTTCAGTTGTATATGGAATTGAATTTACACTTTACACCGATGTCAAATCATTATAACGTTATCGGCTTGCTGTTATTTCTTAACAGACAGACCTTGGCATTTTTTATGTCTTAGGAAACATTAAAGTTTCATCCCGTTTTTCGGGATTGGAATTCAACTTTTTCGAGGATTTTGTTGGCAAATCTTGTGGTTTAATAAGCACACAACAAATTATTTATATCGTTTTTACTTAATTTGTTTTGAGATTTTAGTTTAATTATATATTATATTAGAAACAATGAGAACAGACAACGGAGGTGATTTCTTTTGCTTTGCTTAATAATGAAGTCAACTCCCCAGCTCCTTCCTCTAAACTTTTTCCTCATTATTTGATTCAATAATCGAATAAAACTTTAATTTGCTTTTATATATTTTTTTTTATTATTGTTTTTTTGAATATTTATTATTTACATTTCCATTGTTTTGTTTATTTTTACTTCCCAAACCATTTGTTTTTATTTATATTCATAACGATTTCCTTTATTTTTTCTTATAATGCGACTTCTTACTGCTTTTCAAACTTGGAAATTAATTACGCAAAACACAGAGGATTGCATCAATGTTTTTATATTCTATGTGTTACTTTGGCTTGATTAGCGAACGAAGCGAGCAAACATTTTGTGTGGTGCACTTAAAAACATCAACAATATTCATGTATTTACACCGTATGAATATGTCCACAGCCTGGTAACTCCAAAAGCAAAAGTTTAATTTGTTGTATTATATGGTGGAGAATATTTTTTAAAGTTGGAGAGTCTTTTCGAATTTGTGCAATTTCTATTAACTGGGATTAGATTATTTACTTACCTTTGTTGCACAATCGCTGAAAATGATCTGCGAGTGCTTTGAAACATAGGTAAAACAATAAACATTTTGAAAAAGTAACATATAAATTTGCTAAATCGATCGAATGCTATTTTAGTACTCAAAGAATATTATTTGTAATTAGATAAGTATGTAGCATATATGAAGGGGAGTAGGTTGCTATATAATTATTATCTCTTATTTTGTTTTGTAGGAAAATTGCAGTTTCCCTTCAGCTAAACTTTCGGATTAAGCCAAATAGATGTGAATGTGTATGTTGTACTTTTCCTTTTTTGGTGCCTTTTTGGCCGCGCTATACAGCAAAGAAAAAATTTAATAATGATCAGTGCGTTAATTTCAAGACTTGTCATGTAAGTACTCTCATATATGAAATGTAATTCGAGACATATTCCAATTTTAAACCTTAAATAAAATTTTAATATCGTATTTTCAAACAAAGCCCATGATAATTATTAGATTTTGCCGTGTGGGACTATTTAGCTGATATTTGATCAGATTTTCTTACTTCCACAGTTTTCATTACTTACTTTTTCTTAATAGCTCTTATTGTTACGAGTAATAATATTCAGCAATGTATATTCTTTAAGCAAATCGTCTCTAATAATATGGGTTAAGGATTTACTATTCCAGATCGTTTGCTTGATTGAAATCGTACTCCTCTATAAAAATCTAAGGATCTTCAAGTTTCTCAGGAATATAAAACCTACATAATCTTTCAGCTTAAGTGTGCAGAGGCTAAAAATTTGCGTTATAGGCACTTAAAAATAAAAAAAATGTTGGGTACATATGAAAATTTCAACAAAGAACTTTTAAATGAACGTCATAACATATGAAGATAATTTCATAAAATGTGGAAAGATTATTTCATTTATTTTTGTATAACGTATAGTAACATAAGAGAAAGACGGTGTCCTCGACTTCTAAAGGTGAAAATGATTAATGCCAACGTTTGGCAATGAGAGTTTAGCCCAATAAGTATTCATATTGACAGAAGAACAAAAAAAGAAATTATTTCCAACAAAGTCCCATTCTATCTTAATCTTTCCTTTTTAACTTTAGTGAAAGCGCTTGAATCTTTTCCTCAGAGATTCCCTTTTCCACGATCATATATCAGCGAACCATTTACATTTTGCACGTTATGAAATAATTAGTAAGGGCTAAATCTGTTGAATAACCTGCGTGGAGGAGCAGTTAGAAATTCAGCTCACTTAAAAGAAAAATAAACTTTTCTTGGATAGAATTTAGTTCGACATTAATATCGAATACAGTGAAGCGGCTCAAATGAAGCATCTAATATCTTCGCGCTATATTCTTCCGCTTCATAAGCTTAAGATTTTTTTCAAACCGCAATAGCGGTTTAATGTGATTTCCAATTAGCATGGAAACTTCCAATTGATACGTCAGGCGCTTTCGTACATCCAACCATGCTAAAATTTTGCGTAGATATTTAGTTACGATGGCAACGCATTATGGTTCTGCCAATCTTTCTGTATACACCAAATAGCGGTCGTCAAGAAGTGACGAATTATCTTTTTGATAAAAATCCCTTTAATGTCGATTTTAGCTGAAAGAATTTCGAGAGCCGAATATCGCAAGTTAAAGTTAAATACCGCCGGAATTGCGACGCAGTGACTTAATTTTCGGTTGATAATTTTATCGACTGTAAAATAAATTAGATAGGTATGTTTTTTTTAATAAACCTTTATTGATTTAGTCTATAAAATGGAAAATGAGTTTTATCTCATTGACTTATGGCTATACAAAAAATCAAATTGCTTACACATTAAAATCTTAAATGTCTCGAATTTTTTATAGAAAAACCTGGGACTAAATTTATTTCCCATTTTTAAGTCCACTAGTACGAAAGTTTATATAAAAGAAAATCTTTTAAAGTGTTTGTATGTTTTGAGCTTGAGTTTGTTGAGAACCATTTGGTTGAGAGCTATGTATGCCTTTCGCGATTCGAAATTCCCAAAGGTGTAAATTTGACGGTCGTTTGTTTACAATGAGACAATGAAAACAACATCATACAAACGTAAATAAAAACAAAATTATGTAAAATTTAAAAAACGAATTGATTTGAAGTAATTTCATATAATTCATATAATTTCATATTATATAAATCATACAATTTCATATTATTTTTATTTTGTACACTGTAACAATACATTAACATTTGAATTTACATATAAACCATGTTTTAAAATTAATTGCAAATCAATCCTAGTTTTGCATTGTATAAATAAGAGCAAAATTTTCACAAAATATCTTGAAGTGGATTTTTTCCGGCTGCAGAAGATATGCAGGTTCTTATTTCCTCAATTGATCGACTCAGTTGCCAGACAACTAGGGAAACGTCGACATTGATGTGTATGCGCAAAAACAGGTTAACTCACCACCATCCCATTCAGCCTACGCTTGCCTTTTCATTTTTCTTTTTCATTTTTCGCTTCAATAAATATTAGGTATATTTCAATCATCGTCTTTTGCACAATAACGCATCACAAGTACATGAAAAGTACAACAAGTAGTAAAATGTTTTTAAAAGCCTCTTTTGACACGCGAATCTTTTGTAAAAATTTACATTTAACAATATGTATATTTTAATTTTCCTTGTTGACAGCTATATAAAAGCGTCCCGCAAAACCTTTCTATATACAAGATTCCTCTTCTGCTAATCTCGACATTCCTCTACTGTCAAATAACACCAATAACCATTCCGCTTGATGTGTATATATTCCTTAATATTATTTGTTATTAAAACATTTTACCTCCCTTCTTTTCGTTTCGGTTAGTCAAATGGATTAAGGTAACCAATATATTCAGTAAAGTTTTTATTATTTGCTGATCCTTCACGCTTTATCAATCAGTGTATAATGTGTGGAAAGTATGGAAAGGTTCACAGTTGATTACAAGCTTTAGCGAACTAAGAGTATTAATTAGACAATTGGCGTATAAAGCAAAAAAAGACAATTAACTTACTTACACTTTAAAATATTTTTTTTTGGTTCAGTTGTTTGTAAGTAAACAATATCGTTTGAAATTTATTATATTTCCAATTTATAGCCTTTTCTCATGTAAATGCCCAAAAAATACTAACGCAAAGCGTGAGCAATTTTGCTTACGTTTATTTTGACAATTTTGAAACAGCGTCGCACCTCTTATGCTTGAAAAAAGTCGGAACTCGAAAATAGAGCGTAGTTATCGCCCTACATAACTATTCACTATTTTAAGGTTGCGAACACCTTCTTCTTGATCGGGTTACCATCTTGCAATCCATTACAGCCATGATAATCAGGAATTTGATAAAATGGCGAGAAAAGGGGTATGGTTTTAGGAAGTTCTTTGAATTGCCTTATTGTCAGCTAAAAGGACTTATTCTTTTGTAGTACACGTCCACTGCTACCTCTGGAATGGAGTCCTGAATTCTTTGATTGCTGCAAGAAGTTTCCTTGCTGTGGCTGCTTCATCTTGTTTGATTATTCGGTAGTTTGATGTTTGATTTTTAAGCAAGTTCAGAAGATGTTTTTCATTCTCTTTACGCGTTTGGATAGTGTTCGGCATTTTCTTAGCGTATTCCGACCAATGATCAATAACTCCTCCTTTGGCCCGATGTGGAATGAAAAGGGTGTTGCCAAGTTGTAAGCATACGATGTCGGTAGACTAAATATCGCTATTCAGCGTTTTAATATAAGCTTGCGGTGGACTAATGTCCTAATATATGAACAAATACCATTCAACTTGCAACTGAACTCCGTTGATGAAAATGGACATGGGTCTTAGAAGTGAAATTTGTATTCTATATAGCGGCATTGCTGGGTTAATATTTGATGTTATCTATAGAATGTTTCAAAAAAAGAACATTATAACTGAAAATATTTATATATTGGAATAAGAGTTCGTATATATTGCTAAGCGTGATTAAGAAGAAATAAAGCTGAGGAAAGAGCTACATTATTCTATGTGGGTTTTGTGAGGAGCTCGATAGTTGTTCATCATTACATCTTCTGGCATTGGAGCATGGCCACGTCCGTCCTTGATAGATTGCCACTATTATTACGACCATCATACAGTGCTTTGCTTCTTCGTTCTGTTGTTTCAATTTGTTTCGACATTGAAATTCATCTACATATTCAAGTCGATATCGTTTCCAGAATTTAGAGCTCAAATGAAAAGTCAACTTCCATTGGGTAAGCAAATTCGCTTTACTGGGAGGTAAATTAGGATCTGCCTGCGCTGCGAAAGGTTCATCAATGAGAAAGTGGCCAGGAGTTAAAGCAGTTAGATCATTGGGGTTTTCTGGCACAGCAGTGATGGGTCGTGAATTTAGTGCGGCTTCATTTTTTAATTTGTAATTCCTTATATGTTAATGCGGCATTGCTAACACTGCGAACAGACACATTTTTAGGAGATTTCGCCGCATCTTTCCAGAGGAACCAGAGGAGTCGTTCGTGCAGAAGCTTACGGAAGAGTTTGCACAAATGCTTCCATTGCAAGCGGTACCTATCAAACTTTGATGGTCACATCTTTGGCAAGCTATGAAGGGCTACCGCTGGAGATGTTGTCGCTATACGTTGTTCGGCAGCCTTTTTACAATATATGTTGTAACGCAGTACTCGCGCTGCGACCTTTCATTCACATCGTATTTAGTCGACGCGTTATCAAGCAGAATATCTTCCGCTTTTTTATGTAGTTGCTCGAACACAGCCCATTTTCTTCTACATTTTTCGACTTGATTGAGAAATATAGCGAAGCATGAGGGGAATAATGAGTCTGGGTAGCCTTTCATTTCTTTACATATTAACTAAGTTTATATATTTAACTAAGTTCCCCTATAAATAATATCACTACCCTTACACAACGCGAAATACAATAGAAGAAAAGCTAAAGTTATTTATAGTCTGAACAAGCATTACAAGCACTCAGGTGTTTGCAATAGCATTGAATATTTTATACAATACCCGAAAAGTGGACTGAATAATTCATGACTACTTCGGCATTGCAATAGCCTCAAAAGAACAAAATGTCTTGAGACCCTGCTA